TAAGGCACTGACGTGTTCCAGTGGAAAGGTTAATTATACTACGAGACAGTGAGGTCCGTGAAGCAACTATCTCGTTGATTCCGTCTCACTCTTATACCGTGATAAGTCACCTGTGATCGTACTGTGGTGTTCCGGTACGTCGCAATGACGCTGGGCTACCACGCGACCACCGCGTCACGTGCGTGCAAAAGATAATGCGACATAGTACATCCCTGCGCAAGGTCGAACCGGTGACTTTTGAGTCGTAAGCCAGGCGCCAAAACCACGCAGCCACTGCCGGCGCTGTCAGTGAAGTAAGAATAATTCGTATAATTCGTCATTGTCACGCTGTCAGCAGGCTTTGGCAAGTCTGGAAAAGCACCAGACACCGGTGTTCCGGCCTTCTGGATCTCGTTAGTGGTGCGCCTTCCAGGGATGCCTGCCGAGTTCCGCCCCCATAACTTCTGGATGCCAGCAGGATAGCTTGATTCTGAACACTTGTTCACTACAGTTTAGTTGAACTATGAGCAGAGAACCGAAGTACGGTGGAGCCAATTGCCATGACTCACATCACAAGAATAACACTAAAGAAAAGTAGTAAGAAGACAAGGTTTAACGCAAGTCGAATACAAATCAAAAAGTGCGTTAAACTAACTAAGATGGAATGAAAAATAAAAGCTAGATGCAAGAAACCAGATGCAGGAACGTCACTGACAGTCCGACTGGGCCATGACTACAACCAGCCTGACCAAGTCTCTCTGTCAATCATTTCGTGCCTTCTGCTACGTCATCGACAGGCCACCTGGTGGTTTCGCCCAACTTGGCGTATAGTGCAAGCCGAGGAAGTCGGTCGACACGCATACGCAGGATATGACCTTGTTTACGTAAGCGGTTAAGATTCAACTAACACTCGAGTGAGACACCAGAAGGCTTCGGATTTAATATGAGAGCAATACTCACCCCGCAAGCACGGAACAACTGCTCGGGGAAATTTGGACCGGTGTTTGACACCTCATTAACCGGAGTCACCCTATCTAATGAAGTAAAGAGCCGTTGTATAATTGCAGAGCACTGATGCGTAGTTGCTGATGATGATTGAATGGAAAACTCAGCCAGTCTAGAGGCATTCGACTGAAGATCGACCGTGATGCTACAATTATCAGGGATCACGGGGCATTAGCAAGTGACTGGCCGGACCGTTGCAACCCGAGTGGACGTTGTCTTCGCTCGAGCTCAAAGCCAACTCTAACGAAACTGAGTCATTGGTTTTCTTGTCAAGTCAAAAGAAGCTTTATCCAACCGTAGGGATACATTTCCAGTATTTTATCATTAACACTGCGGAACATAATACATCAAAAGAGAAATGAGAAAGGACAATTGACAGCAATGAACAAGTTGCAACTTCAATCAAGCATACGGTCACGAAAGCGGTGTTTCATTCCCGATGGATCGATTAGTAAGCGTGATAAAAAGAGCAGGGTGGAGTTTCGATAGGACGAGAAGATAAAACATTAAATTTTGACCAAATAGAAAAAATAGATATACCACTGGCTAGGAAAGCATGTGAAGAGTGAGGGGAATCACTTAAAATCTTGGATGAAAAGTTGATGCATGCATAGAAATACGTGTTGATAATGAAATCAATGGGCGGTTCTTAAACCAGAACAGCGAGAAGTGAATTCCAGCGAACGGAAAAGAAATAATCTCTTCTGAAGCATTTCGGGGAAAATAACAGAGGAACAATATAACCGGCGAGGGAGGATACATACAGTTGCAAACATCAGAATTAAAGCACAGGGAACGGAAGGCATTTTGAGCCTAAGGGGTAAAAAGAAAGCCTTCTAACTTGTTTAATATTAAAAGAATATGTGTAGACCAAGATAAATTGGGTGATAGGGAAACTCTGAGATACCTTACGGCAGATGTGTGAAATATACCTTGGTCATCCACAATTATGGGAGGGGAGGTACGTATAAGGGAATGGTATCTGTTGGAATGTAAAAAAGAGAACATTACATCACAACACTAAGAAGAGGTGAGAGAGAGAGAGGGACCGGGAGCTCGATCAAGTCACTAGTTCGTGTAAGTTTTGTGGAAGTTTCAGAGTCCTTGATGATTGAGGTTATGCAACCCAGAACGAAATCATCACCATATTTATAGCCTATGCGATTAGATTGAATAGGGAAACTTTCGACGTAGGCGGAGAAGAGAAAGTAAAATAGGATGGCTCCCTGAAAAAAACCGCAATTGGCTGGGAGTGTAGAAGACTTTTTGCAGCATAGCTACGCGAAGTGAGTGCGATTTGGAAAGTAATCATGTATCGAGGCTCCCAAAGATGTTGATATAATCAAGAAATAGGATCCGTAGGTTCTTGCATATATTATTTGACACTAACGCAATGGAAGGCACCAGATAAGAAACATCATCTAATGTAGAGCGCACCGGTTGATTAGTAAACTGTGTTTGGCATCCTCAGCATGAGGATGCGGGGAATTAGCAAAATTTCCAGCACCTTTAGCAGTACGGACACGTGCACGCAATTGGCCGACAAGTCCGAGATCCACTATTAGGCCCTGGTGTAATTTTGGCTGACTCACAAATGTCGAGGACGGTACCAGTCTCGTTAAGCAGCGATTCCAGATCTCTGTCTGATGTGTCATTAAAAGATATACGCATTCTTTCAGAGCCACTGTTGATAACGCAGCAGGTTCACCAGCATTGTGTTTTGCATCAATCTTGTGAGCTGCTTGTAAATACTTGTGGAGTCAAATAAAGTAGTGGGCTCAATAATGGTGAAAAATGGCAAGGGGACTGTGTTAGATGATGCGGAGCTGAAACCGGCGTTGAGTTTATCCACATGCTCAGTGATGAATGTTCTGATGGAACGCTTTCCAGTGAGTTGAAATAGAAACCTCCACAGGTCCCGGCAACATCATTATCATCAATACACGTTAGCTGAGGATGAGAAACACACCTCAAAGAAGGTGGTTACCTAAAACGGTCTGCATGTACAGAGCGTTTAAGCATTTTATTTCAGTTTTTATAGACAAGGACAAACGTTTAACGAGCAGTTTGCAAGCCTGCTCTTTTTTCCACCGCAGTTGCTTCAGAAACAGAGATGAAAATATGTAATTTCGTATAGACTATCTAAAGGGGGCAACACAGATCAAAAGAGTCTATTTAGTCTGTGAGGTGCTCGCATTAAGCTGGCAAGTCTTCATTGGTAAAAATGGAAAAATCAGTTGAACGAAGTGTTTATTTGAGTTTTTCGATGTTATCGACTGAGCAGTTGCGTCGTTTAACAGTTCTGTGTGGACTTTTTGTCAGCACAACATAGCTGGTACTACCGTATAGCTCGGAGAATAGATTTACTATGCAATGGTCGGAATTACCAAGAAAAGCACGCTGTTGTGTAGAAAACAGTTCGAATTTGTTAGTAAACGAATTATGTGTATCCCAGTAACAGAGGATCAACCAACTCCTAATTTGGGCAGTAAAGTGGACGACCAGAAAAAATCGACAGTAAAGCGAAATCCTGGTGTACTTGGATGTTTGCATGTAATAGCAAAACAAACTGGCCGGGAACTGATGATGGGGAAAGTGGCGGAATGCGAATGCCTGAGGGGCAATAACTCCGAAAACGTTCATTTTGCTCCGGATGGCGGCAGCATGAGATGCTTGTGATTGGTAAAAATCTAAAGCTCGGACTTATAATCGATAGTTAAGGGTCCGAAATAAATATAGGGCTCGACAAATGTATTCCAAAATGACTGGAGGACCACACATAGAAGTCCAAAATTGGTCGCGTGACGGCTACCTAACGACGAAGATGGGATGCGGGGCTCCGGTGATATCAAGGGGTTTAGTTAAAGTCAGTACAACAAGTTGTAACGCTCCCGATGAGGGCACAAGGAGACGCTATCGAGAAACTGGACGGTGGCGTGAGAAACCAGTGCTTCAGTGAACCGAGTTGGTAATATTCAAAGCAGTCGAAACCAGCGAACAGCATTCTAACCGCGCACGGAGGGTTACAAGCGTGGAAAGCCCACCTGCCACTTTGTATCAAATGTGTGGGATAGTATGTGCATATTTAAATAAACCCACTCCTTAAAAACGGCTAGAGCATCGAAGTACAGTGGAACAAGTCCCTGGTACAAATTAGCCCCTTTTAGCCATTTCGTCAAAGTATAGAGGAGACATAAGGTGCGATGTGCTAACATTTCAACTATTCTAATCAGTTGGAAACATACTACAGGCGGGACACATTCACGGTTCTGAAGATGAAACAAAAAAGCAACACAAATCAAAATGCTATAATCCAGACCAAGGCAACCTAATTGATTGCCTCAGTAGCTTCTGTGCGCGTAACACAGGCTCTAATTAACAATGCCTCACTGAGTGCCAACAGTATCTGGGTTTTGTTGTCTAATCGCACATTGAACGTGGTCTCCGGGTTCACACAGAGTAAAGTGACCCTGAGGTGCATGGTGACAGATGATGCCGGATTCTGGTTCCTCTCCGGATCCGTTTCGTTTTGTAGCGTTATCAATTGTCCAAACTACATCGGTAAATGTGTTCAGCTTTCCTGTGAGCGAACTGACGGTCAGTTCTGTCCATGTAAATTTCACCACAACGGCTGGTGAAATGATAAACGACGTAAAAAGGCGAACTGTCTGACGAGTTACTCTGACGGGCATAAAGAACAAGGCTTCGCGTGATAGGTATGAGTCACAAATGGATGGTCGCGTAGGTGCGCTTACGAGCGGACCGGAGCCTGTGTCCGACATCAGTTTTGTCACGCGGTACCCATTCAACAGCAAGAACAAATAAACATCCTTTATTTCCGCCGTTATCACCGGTAGTTTCTCCTTGGGGGTCTTGTGGTGGATCTGAATGAACTTCTCAGGTTAAAAAGTAACACTAGTGAGAAGAAACAAAATGGGCGTAGGACAGAAGAAAAAGTACGAGTGCGTTCATTGAACGAGCCAAGGCATGAGGGCTAGGTCCAGTAGAGCACTCACCTTCAAGTGGGGCATGTTCTCCGACCAAATGACCATGAATTAAAGTCAAAAGAGTGATGAGAAATTCATGTGCGTCGCGCTGTTCGTATCCGGCCAAATGACTAGCGTGAAGCCAGATTGCGTAGAGTAAGTTGCTCGGAACAAACGGCGCATGAACGGGACTGTAGATCTGGAAAGGGAAAGGCACAAAAACAGAGGGAGGAAGGAGCAAAATCCATATGGTTCAACTCATTACTGACTCGTAAGGTATGTTCATTAAACGATAGTGGTACTACTCACCTCCTGAGTGACCCGAATCATCTCGCAGGCGAGACAATTACGCGATCGCGCCGGACTACTACAGCGATGGAAGTCTGCGAGAAGATAGTCTCGCAGAACTGGAGTATGTGTGAGCGCCTGTATGACTACATTGAGGAAGCAGGTGTTGCCCATGTTGATGAGGCCACGTGTAGCTGCAAGGGACAATGGAGCAAAAGAAGGAGGGGATAGACGGTGCACATCATCCGAATGTAATTAGATGAAATGAGACTGTAAGAAATAATGTGGGGTTGCAAACGCTAGCCCAGCTGCGATGACTGTTTGCTGCGGAGGTAGATTGGCTCAGTCGATGATTGAGGGAGCGTAGGAATCAAGAATGAGGGTGCACAATAGGGGGAACAGCAGTGGCATAAAAAATGCAAGGGGCAAAAAGGCGATGAGACTAACGTCGAGAGCCAACTTTGGTGGAGAGCGGGACCACAGAGCCAATGTGCGGTAACAGCTTGAGTTCCTCGAACGACGGACGCCATGGTTGGCTGGAGAGACCTGAAAAGGTAGACGATAAATGGGCAACAGAACTGTGGAGGGGTAGTACAAAAGTTGGTCTAAAAAGTAACTGAGCCTCTGTAATAAGAAGAGCGAAATACAGGCTATTATTATTAGTAGTAGTAGTAGTATTATTACTAGTGTAACGGATGGCAGTAGCATGCCGGTAGTTTGTGCTGGTGGTTTATTGACACCCAAAGACAAAAGGAGAGGAGCGTAAGTAGGAAGAATAAAAAATAAGATATGACGCTAAATGAATTCTCGATTCCCAAAAACGTTTAGGATTAAGGCGCTACACCCTGCCAACACGAAAGAACGCTCACAAACAGCTATCGATCGTGTGAAAACAGGACCACATATCGGTCTCTCACCTCCAAGCGTCATACACAACAGGCAACTCAGCGCAAGACACGCTTAAAATAAGTGGTCCAACTAAGAAGTAATGACAAACAGGTCAATGATGTCGATTGTGAACCATAAGGTTGATTGTGCTAGTTTCATCACGGAAAGCCGAGAAAGACCCAATGGCACTCAATTCAATGTGGACAAAGTCAGTAGTTGTTTCCCTCTTATCATGGGTTGACTATCCAACGCACCGTAAACGAAGCCGAGGTAAGTTTCTGTAGACACATAGAGGAATCAATTGCAGGTTGTTCAGCTACAATTGCTGAGCTGACGGAATGTCTCGATTATCACCGCTTAGAGCTAGTTAACGCACTTTATGGTCGCGGAAACGCCGGTGTTAAGCAGCACCAGTACCGTACCGTACGCAGCTATAGTCCAAGTGTTGAAGGCAACTGAGACGTACAAAAGGAAAGGAGTACGTTTCATTGCCTGGGGGTTCAGTACACAGCCTTTAAGATAAAGGGAAATATTAGGAAGAAAAGAGGAAGTAAGTGGTCGATACCATCAAGCACGATATACGAGGGCGAAAAGACGGTTTAGAAGTCGGATGTTCAAAAAGTAGTGCGAATGTGGGTTAGCGGGAACAATAAGACCGCAGCTTTCCGCGAAACAGCGAAATGCAGAAAAAGTACGGAATTTACTAACTGTCGCAGAAAAATGAATACTTTCGTGGAATCGCGGGAAAAAATGAGAAATTCATAAGGCTACTTTGAATTCGTTTTTGTTGTAATCAACATACTTGTATACGGAAGAAATGTCGAAGCAGCCAGCTGGCTATCAGAACACTCCTCTGGAGCATCACAACCGCCATCTGCCTACGATCTGCTAGCCGAGTTCCCTTGTTTCCCCATTCACAGCTAAGACTGCGGTTACATCTCGACCCCAGTATCATCCATGAACCTATCCATTGCGTAACCATGCCCCATCTGTCAACTCATGCTATTCACTGTATTGTGCACTATACAGACACGCTTTGCCAACATGTGCATTAAATCTGTCCGACAGCTGTTCGTCCACTCCTTTTGCATATACCTTTCCGGTACACAAGCCCTCCCATTACGGTCACTCGCGAACAGGTTGCGAGCATAACTCGTCGACACGGGAAATATGGTGAGACTCAATACTGCCACACTTGGGGGAGCCATTCTGCGCGGCTTGATAATGCTGGGTATAGACTTCAGTCGCGTGACGGCCTTCGCGTCCGATGGCACAAGATATAAGACAGAATGCTACCGAGATGTCATCAAGACTGTTTGTGAGAATGCAGTTCACATTACATGTGTTACCCATTGCATTAATTTGACTGACGAGACCATTAGCAAATCCTCCCAGGAATTCGACGGATTCGTTACTAAAATGTAAAGTGCTTTTTGTCTTTCGGGAAGAAAGAGTTGAGTAGGCGCATAGATAACTCGACCCCCTCAGATGCACTGGTCAGCACACGTTAGAATTCCTGGCTGGGAGCTGTCACACATCACAGCAAGTAGGTCCATCATTGTCCAAGCATGCGAGCTGTACAACATGCGCTTGGAGAATCAGGTGGCGTTTGTGAACTCGAGGATCTTCCAACCCACGAAACAACCCAGAAAGCGTTGAAGTAGCAACTGAAATGCATAGCGGTCGTTGGTCAGAACATCATCCGTTGTTTGAAAACTGCAAAATCACAGTCTCCAGTAGCGCACAGGAGGTACAACGACCTCTCCGATCTATCCATGTCGCTGAAAACTGCCGCAGTGGAAAACTGCTTGTAGCATCTACAAGTAGAGAGACTGAGGTCTGATGAGTCAATGAAAATCCAAACTGACAGGCAACTACGCTTCACCCGAACTACCAAAAGAGCTCAGGAGTTGCTGACATCATAGATTTTGAAAGCAACGAGAATTCTCAGCCCCATGCTGCTCATCATCTTGTCCAGTGATTCATGCAGCTATACCGACGTTCCAGGCCTGGTTGCCTCCCAGGCTCTAGCAGCCGAATGTTTAACCTATCGAAAAGTGGTGGAAAAACTGCATGAAGAAAAGTGTGAAGACACACACTGGTCTTTTGTGCGGGAGGAATGAAAGAGCTTCATAACTGGCAGACATTGCGGGCCGTTATCTAGGTATTCCTGTGAAGTCGGTCGGTCTGATCCCTCAATCTTCCCCAAAATACTTAACACCTAAGTGCGACCGCACGTGGAATATGCCATCCAAACGTGGCTGCCATGGAAGAAACAGGATCTCGTCGCTCTCGAGACTCCTCAAAGAAGGGAAAGCAAGAACGTCAAAAATCTCTTTCATCCGCCCTCTCAACTTAGACTGCAGTCTCTCAGAATGTACAGCAGTCGATATTGGCGTTTGCGGGGGGATCTCATAATGGTTAGCAGATTCTGAAGAACCCAGACCACAGTTTCCGGTCGCTGCTAGAATTGAACCACAAGGCTGACCGAAGTGGTCATCCTCTGATAAAGACAATACAGTTTAGCCGCCTTGTATACCGTAGAGATTTCCTTTTCCTCCAAGTGTGCCAGCTGTGGAATGCTCTTCCAAATTATGTCGTTTCCGCCCCCAATCTAGCAATATTTAAAAAATATACTATACGAAGCGTTGTCTCAAACGCATTTCATTTTATAACTTGTTAGCTAGGGGCTATAAAACACAATCAAATCAAAATCAAATGGTGTTTCCAAACTCCAAAAAAGTGGATTTATGGAGATTGAACTGTTCGCTGAGCTTAGCAATTTTGTTGCAAACGTTTCCTCACCAATCGAGGTAGCGTAGATGAGGCTAGCAGCCTCTCACCCAGGCTCCTCTACGCTACTGCACACCACTCAAGTACGCAATGATGATGTCACCTCGATTGCCCAGCTCAGCGAAGAGTTCAACCGCAATCTGAACAACCTGAGCTACCAGTCTTCAATTCTATAGCCAAATGGTTTATACTTTTAATACGAGAACACCTCTCTTTTACATACGTGAGTTGAATGAAAATTTTGAGCCTGGCATAAATTAGATAGCCAAACAAGCCAAATAAGGTTTGTCATAATCTACCACTTTTCTTTATTCATTTTATGCAAATTCATTTTGCCACCTCTTTCAGTTTCATTTCAGCACACTTGAAGTAAACAAGATCTGCAAACGGGTGAAAGTGGAGAAACTGGAGCACCGTGTAGTGGTCAATTATGTCCATCTCAAAGAAATGTCACCAAGATATGCTCAATATCTCGCATGACAATACCTCTTCATATGCCACAGGTAAACCATGGGTGCAAGAGTTTAAGCGCGGCAGGTAGAGTATTGAGGATAAGCCCAGATCAGGAAGACTATCAACCGCTACCACTGAAGAAAATCATGGCCTAGTAATGGATGTGATTACGCAAGATTGCCGGCTAACAACTCGTCAGGTAGTATAGAGGTTCGGCATCTCCCGGGAGCGAGCAGATGATAGTCTGACAAAGGAATAAGGCTACGCAAAAGTTGGTGTTCGATGTGTGCCAGGCCTTCTGACTCCTAAGCAGAAACACATACGAAAAGTGATGTCAAAGAACGAATTGGCACTGTTTGAAGCAGATGCCGACGATTTTCTTGCACGATTCATCAGTATGGATGAGTGTTGGGTTCACCAGTTTCAACCATGGAGAAAAGAACAATCAAAGAAGTGGAAACGTAGTACATCATCTCCTACGCCAAAGAAAGCCGTCGCATCGTCAGCCGGCAAATTGATGACACCCATTTTTGGGATTCCTGAGGTGTTGGGATGATTGGTTTCCTTGAAAGTGTATACACTATCACCAAAAAGTATTACTGTGAACTTATAAAACGTCTCAGAGAAAAAATTCGAGGAAAAAAACAGGAATGCTGAAGAGAGGAGTTATTTTCCACAATGACAACGCTTCAGCCCACATCACTTCCACTGCACAGAAAACAATTCACGACTGCGGCTTCCAGCTTCTTTCCCACTCACTATATTCACCAGATCTGGTCCCCACTGATTTCCACCTAATTGCAAGCTGAAAAAGATTTTAGCTAGCCAACATTTTCTCGACGACAGTGACATCACTGAAGCCGCAGAAGCGTTTTTGTAGTCGCAACATGAAGAGTACCTTTGCACTGGGACAAAGGCGCGTCAGAACCACTAGAGTTTTTGAAGCTTAAAACTTATCATTCAATCCACGTAAGGTGAGTCCATCAAAGCGCTTTCCACCTTATCATGAATCTTTGTTTTCTCAAGAATTTTCATCCCACGGAACTTGTTAAGCATTGTTTTTTTGTACTCGTAATACACCATTGCTCCATTGTACACACTGAGTATGCTGAAGGTTTGAACAAACTTGCGCTCAAATTTCCCATTGGTCAGATATAGCTGTGTGACAATGTAGCAATCTTATGTAGAAAACACTACAGTTACCAGAACCTAAATACTACAACGACTATATTCACATGGAAAAAAATCCCTTGATGTGCTATTCCAAAAGGGAGCCAAAAACATCAAAACACTAATGTTTCCAAAAATATGCTTTCGCGTCAACCATCCACCGAAAGGCAATTACGTGACTCGCATGTTTCAATATTCCATATATGCATACCATCTATGTAAGAGCATGGTTACTCTTTTACAAATTGATCTATAATGTTGCAGACACAGCTTCTCGAAGCTGGAGAAATATACGCATTATTTATTTATTTATTATTATTATTATTATTATGGTCTTCGCGAAGCTTTGCCGGGCAATGTGATAGTCAACCTAACTTCGACTTATCAGGTGCAATAATGACACCCTATGCGGCACACCGGGTTGTACATATGCGGGAACTGCCAAACCGCCTGCCGACTGCCAACTCCCTGGGCACCATACCAATGTTAATGGGATACCCCACAGACGACTGATGAGCGCGATGCGTCACAAAAGCCTCAGACAATGAGCGCAAACGTTTACGCGAAAGGTGTAATGGGAACCAAGATGTTCTCAAACGACGGTACGCATGCAGCCGACCGTAGCCAAAGTATGCAGGCAGGGTGCACAGAAGGTGGAATAGTGATAGCCGTTATCAATCGAAACGTTAGCCCAAAAAGTGGACCAAGGTCCGTTTTGGTGAGACCGAAAATAGAAGTGGGCAAGCTTTTCGAGTGTCCGGGGTACTTATGCTACGTGTCCATAAAAGTGATAACTGTAAAGCAATACAATGAGATCGCTCTATGACGATCAACATCTGCGAGGTCGTCTAAGTCCCGGGATACAAGAAATTGCTTTCAGTCATTTAATCGAGAGAGAAAAAATTATAAGGTCAGGAACGACAGAGAAGAGAAACTAGTACCGGAGACAGGGTCGCTGGAGATAGCTTATATGTGTTGCTGCACAAGTTGGATTTTGCTATTTAACTCCAGAATCAAAGAGATGCAAAGTGATGGCAACAGCACCCGTCATATACATTAGAACTAACTTTACACAGAAACATCCCACAGCGAACGTCCTCCTAGACGATAAGGAGTGGTACGAGCTTGCTTGCAGTCATTACCCTGGCTCAGGGGTACCTACTCGTGCGCACATCAAATGGCATCGAAGCGTGGGTAGTCCCACATTGGTATGATGACCACGGAGCACTGTTCGCGTTTGGGGAAAGCAGTGTGCCTACGACTGAACGAGTTGTGCTGGTCATACATGCCCATTAGTCGCTTGTTGGGACGTGCATTGTTTTATTTGCCGGGCGCAAGATGGTGAAAAGGTGCTTGTTTCGAGAACACGTCGGTGATGCGGGTACAGTATCTCTTAGTCGAACTGTCTAACCATTGTAAGTGTCATTATCAATGGAGTAAGAATAACTATGACGTGGGGTAGTAAAAGTCACGAAGTAGACATTATTGGGTCTTGGAGATGCCATGGAGCTCTGGTCTACTGGGCAAGATGGAAGCTGTTAGGCACTGTGTTTGGCTCCCTTCTGAGCTTAAGTTATCCTTACCTGACGAGTCCAAATCAGGATGAAACTGATCGGTCATGGAGTGCAGTCTCGAAACCTCACACTGCGCAAAGTAGACGGTTCACCGATGCTACCTCTATGATCGTACGTGTCTATTGAGGTAGTTACGCCTTGGGCCTGGATGTCTACACAGGCCGGTAGCCTTAAGGGTCACAAGCCTGCCTTGTAATCGGAGAGTGTAGGCTCGAGTCTGCATAGGGCGATCCTCGCAGTATTCTAAGCCCACGTCCGCCTGGCGGTGGTTGCGCGGAAGCGAAGCGTCGGTATGATGTACCGGTGTACTGTTGATGCCTTTGTCTTTCCCATCTAGGTATTACGTTAGGACACCCATTGCTTATGAGTAGAGCCTTCAAAGAGATATGGCATAGAGGCACCAGCACAAAGTACCAATGTAGGAATGCATTCGACTGACCCACAGGGAAGTACGAAGGTGGAGCTTGCCGGAAAGTGATCTCACACACAGCATCACAACAGTACGGGAGCGCTTGATGACCGCATTCGATGAAACAATTGCAACTGCCGTCAGCCGTAGATAATATTCAGGGGTAAGAAATAGGGAGTAGCGAACCGATGAGTAGAGGATGTGCACCAACTCGGTCAGAGAGAGGTATCCCACAGAGATCGTGCTCTGCGCCACTGATCTCTGTCCAAGCTCCGATGAGAAAGAACTTGCCTGATCTCCAATCGTTAGTCCATATTCAGTGTGGGATGCTCTGAGATGCACCAATCGCAGCGAAATAGAATAGCGGAGGTACGCAAACTACCGAGTTGGAGCCCTTAAAACAGTGAACGCCTACGACCGAGTAGATGTACAAGCTAGCTTATGTGTCCATTAGCAGCAAATTGTTGTAAAACATCGTATGCATCCCAAAAAGGAGGAAATAGGGGCGAGAAAGTTGGTTGTCTGCAATATGAGATCCGACGGACAAATGGCAGAACGTAAGGTAGGCGTGAAAACCAGTCACTGTTGAATGTCAGCAGTGGCAGAAAGTAGGTGCATTCCAGTTCAAAACCGGAACAAGGAATCCTATGGAGACTTAGATTGCGCATTCCTGCTAATCAAACATCGACGACTAGTTCATGTGACAAAGTGTCAAATGAAAAGACGTACCAAATTGGGAGAAGTAAATATGACGGGCTGCCCGATGAACCTGTTCTGCTGTTGGATGATAAACGAAGTCTTTACAGGCGGCACAATATAATTCTCCACGCTCCAAACAAATATCTAAAAGAAAATGGACATTGGATGGGGGAAATAATTAGGTGGAAAACGACCCGACATGAACACGGAATAATTGAGGTAAAGTTATCGCAGTGCAGTTAACGACCGCCCAACAAGCAGTGGTAATGAGCGAGCCGACTAAATTATTCTGCTCCCTACGATCTGCGAATTAATGGAGCTCCTAGAATTGTGTGATAATCACCCAAAAGTTATGCTATGTTGGTGCAGCAGGATCCAGAACGAGTTGAAGTCAAAGTGCTCCCAAGAAGTGAATCTGCTGTGAAGTTCTCAAAAAAGAATGTTCTCACACTTCCTGAATCGGTCTCTTTGGTCTACCAAGAATTATAGTGTAAAAAAGTAGCGTCATGAGAAACAGTGTGGAAGTTAGAGTAGCAGACGGCCGTTCTCACACTGCAGAAATGAGACGCATCGAATGTCCAAAGACGCAAGCGAGCAAGGATTGCAGCATCTGGGGGATGATGCGGGTCAGTAACCGGATCTGAAGGACGTACACAGGTGATTGTTTGCAAGAGTACGAGACGACCACCTGGTACTTTTTGCCGGAGTAGATGACAGTTGCTTAGTCGGATCCATTACGATGGTGTTCATCTGAGACCGAATATACAGAACCGGTAAGTGCTTAAACAAACTGGTCATTCATTCATTCATTATACACGTTAGCTGCAGGTGGAAAACACCTCAGCTATTGTGCCGCAATAGAAAAGACAAGAAAAGGAAAACAAACAGTGGCACGCCGGCTGAGTCCCCAGAACGGATGGACATCGTTCCGGAGACCTAATAGCTGGCTATCGTACCGTAAAAAGAGAGTTATATTATGCCGAACGAGTAAGATCGTGATTGGAGGGAGAGGTTAAGCAGAGGGGGATGGACAAAAGAACTCACAACACAAACGTCACTGGGGCTGGCTCCTAGCCATTGTTAGATCTTCCATTTTTCGCTATTCCGAATTAACCACCCAGAAATTTCTCCGCAGCAATTCTAGCCCAGCCGAAGAAAAATTAAAATTCCAACAGCCTTGACCACAAAAAACGTGTTAACAAAACTCTGCCAACGTAACCAGAAAATGCCGCCGAAAACACTGTCCTCTCAACTCTGAGGCAAAAGTCCAATTCGCCGGGTGTTTGAAAACGCATTCGTCCGCTCGATCGATTGCCTGATCGACCGCACGGGTAGGCGATTCCCTTCAGCCCAGCTTTCAATCATCATTATATATTTTCCCTTTTTTATGCTTTTATCTGATTCCCGGATAGCCATATCAGCTAGTATGTCCAACCAAACGTGTACACCGTCCTTAGGACCCCAGCCAGGCAGTCGGGATGTACCAACCGACGCCAACTTCCAAGTGAAGGTTTTCATCTCTCTCGACAAAGTCATCGACTGGCCTCCCCTCCTCCTCTGCCAACCACACCCACAACGCGCAAACAATGCACGTCTTGGAAGTCGGTGTGCTGGCGTGCGCAACACGTGGCCCAACCATCGGAGCCTGGTGTGTGATATAATGGTGCTGAGCGGTTCACTAGCTCTTCCTGCAACAAACATGCGACGCCGAACACGCTCGTTGCTCACGCGGTGCTTCCACCAGACATGAGCTAAGCTGCGAAGACAGCGATGATCGAATATGACGAGCCTCTTTATGTCTGTCGACCTGATGGGCCAGGTTTCACAACCATATAGGAGAGTTGAACGCACGGCTGCGTTACAAACTCTGCCCTTCAGAGCGAGACTAACGTCGCGTCTGCGCCACAGGTGGTGGAGATTGGCAAAAGCACCTCGAGCTTTTGCTATCCGGTTCATAACCTCATGTTCAATCCCACGGGTGCTAATATATCTGCCAAGTTACTTGAATTTCTGAACGACTTCTAGCAGATCACCACAAAGCGTTAGCGCAGGGTTGGGTCCCCGCCAATCTTGGAGAAGTACTTTGCAGTTCGATGGAGCAAAGCAAACAAACTGGTGATCGCAACAGTATTATTATTACTGCAGCGTCAAAATAAGGACTAGCATGTGGGTATGGTTCCAAACGGAATTAAAGTGGAATTGAAGACACTACTCGTCATCATCATCAATACACGTTAGTTGAGGATGAGAAACACTCCACGGCTAATGTGCCGCAATATAAAAAGATAAGGTATGGAAAAACTACACTACAAATAATTAAAAAAATAAGCAATATAATGTTGGATATTATATTATGCACTCCGTATGAGGTGTTATTTGGAGGGGGAATCTAGAGGAGGGGGATGGACAAAGAAGCTCATAACACAAACGCCATTGGGCCTGGCTCTTCTCCACAGCAGCAAGTGCGTCCAGCCAAATGTGTTCATCATCCTTCGGACGACGCCAACTTCGAAGTGAGGGTTTTCATCTCTCTCAGACAAGTCATCACTTGACTTCCCCTCTTCCTCTACCAACCGCACCCCCGGGGGGCAAACAATCCACGTCGCGGGAGTCAATGTGCTGGCATGCGCAACACGTGGCCCGGCCATCGGAGCCAGTAAGGAAAGGATGAAAGTCCGTCATTTATTCAGGTGTTCGTGTGCATAATGAATTTGGCAGCTGATCAATACAGACCCATTGATACGTACTGATGATGTCACCTGATTTGTAAATTAATCGCCGAGCTCGGGGAGCATAAGCAACAACTGAACAGCCAATTCGAACTACCAGTGTTTCGAGTCATCTCCCGAGTTTTTTTTTGCTAAAGTCACAGCACCGAACGGTGATGAACCGGAGTCCGAAGATACTACAGCCTCATCACTCACCAGTCAAGCTGTGAGGTTGGTAACCCGAGGGTTGAGGAAAAGGCATTGTCCCCTTGAACAGCTTCCTATTTTAGGGGATAGTTTCTGCTGTACATCTCCTGTCATTGGCCGTTTGATCTAATTGGACAGCTAACTGCATCCCTTCTATCCCCGGATTCATTGGTTGTCACTTCAATAGAGCGGTGAGAATCTAGCTCTCAGGGAACATTGCGTTAGCTCGAGCGCAAACATTTCAGGAAGTTGTGGCATCTTTCCGTTCTCACACTGAAGCGTTCTGAGGCGAAGAGTGCCTGCGGCCGTAAAATTAACAGGGAACAATCGGCAGCGCGTTCGCACATCTGCCGTCTCAAGCCAGATCGCCTAATGGAACCAAGGTCCGTGGGAACTGTCCACTGCAAGTTGGTGCCGGCAATGTATGCACATAACAACTACCAAAGACAACTTCGGGCAGCCAAGTGTGACGATCTAATCATATTCTAAGACAGGGGCAGATAAAAGTGTGTGGTTTCGTAGATAGGTGGATGAGCTGTTTAGTTTCATTCGAAGACTAGAAATGGTGCGGTGTCAACCCAGTTTAACCTGATAGACAAGAGAACTTGGCTGCCGCTTGGTGTTCTGAGTACTTCAGATTGATGGGACAATGCATGTTGGCAAAAGAGAAAACATACGTTGGGTATTGACACAAGTCAATACTGTACACTCCAGCAAGAGTTTCGCAGTTTCCTGCACTCTCACAAGATAACGAGAAAAAAATTCCAATCCGAGCATAGGACACAGAAATTATCGGTAAGCGCCTTTACTCCCTACACAACCAAGTTGCGTAGTAACGGTCGTGAAGACAATCAGGGCGATACATTTTCGGTTTGTTTGGGGTGTACAATGTGGATAGATCGCTGCACGTGAACGCCAATCCGGACTAGCACTGCCGTGCAAGAGAACCTCGGTTAGTTAGAGCAGTATAACGGCGTCACTGAAGCGAACAAATGCTACGTACTGCACGCTAGCAACACAACACTCCCAGACGGATTTAGTCATCATCCTTTCTCACGTTAGACAGCTATTGTATAGCAAACCAAAAGAAATGAGAAAAAAAAACGAGACACTAAACATAACCAATACAAAAAGTAGTATCGCATAATGCATCGGGTTTGAGATCGTAGCTGGAGGGGGAAGCTAAGCAGGAGAGGAAGGGACAACGAAACTGGCACCACGGAGACCAATCAGAACGGCTCTTTGCCATGTCAGAAATGTGTGCAAACGTGTTCATCGTTCTTGAACCCCAGGCTGTCGTGAAGTCCTAACCAATCTCATTCCGCCTGATCATGTCATCGGTTGGCCCCTCTCCGCTTCCTCCATCTATAACTCCGGTCGCACAAACGCATTTCGCGAGTCGGTAGAGGGGCATGCGCAACACGCGGTCAAGTCATCAGAACATGCTGCGTGATACAACGATGCAGAGTGATTCACTCACACTTACTGCACCAAAAACATGATGCCAACACTCATAACCTAGGCCGAGTTCCCACTAGACGTGAGCTAAACGGTGAAGGCATGGATGGTCGAACACAAATCGACTCTTCAGATCTGTCGAGCTGATAGACCAGGTTCCGCAACCGAATAAGAGGGTTGAACAGACGGCTGCACTGTAAACTCCAACCTTCAGGACGAGTGTTATCGTGCCGGCACCATAGGGAGCGGATATCCGCAAAAGCGGTACGTGGTTTCACCTTCTATTCTAAAGATGCTAATATAACTGCATAGATAATTAAATTTCCAGACGACTTCTAAATGAACACCACTCAGTGTAGGAGTGGGTCTCTGCCAGTATTGGAGGAGTTTACATTTCCAGAGAACAAAGCATAGCCCAAAACGACTAATAACCAATACTAATCAGTCCAGCGGTGTTTGGCACGTTTGGGAGCAGACACTGATTAGGGTAATGTTGTCGGCACACTTCAAGCTAAGAAGTCGCTCACTTTGCCGGTAGTATCCAGCGAACGCTGTTTCCATTGTGTTAAGTATGGCCCTTAGCCGATAAACGGAACAGAACGCGCAGTATGGAACCGATTTACTAAAAGCATCCTGCGTTACGGTGGCTAGAAAATCCGGAAAGGAAAACCAATGAAGTAAGGAAAGTAAGGCAAGGTCATTTGCGACCGATCATGTGAGGGCCTGTGTTTAAGAATCGATACCTAAGTGCATACGTGAAACCCCTCTCTT